GGTAATCGAAGCAGACTTTGTGCGTTGAGGCTAGAGAGGTGCGTGTAGAATAAGTCTGATTCCCCGTTTGGAGTCTGGACTTCTCTGCTGACATCCACCCCTTGGCGCTCATTTGACTTCCTGTAGTTGCGAGCACCATAAAACTTACTGAAACAAAACAGCCCTTTCTTTCCTATCAACTTCTACCGCCTTTACAGTTACAGTATATATCGTCTCCTTCTGTTTCTCTGTGTGGTACTCTCATGTTACATTTCTTTTCATCAGCACATACACGACCTATTTCTGTTGCAAGTACAGTAAAATTCTTTTAAACGAAAGGCCTATTACATGTACTGTACTTATGTGTAGTAATAATATGCTATAACTGTTGAAACGATCTTGGACCTCAACATATTCCTTTTTTTCTCATCGATCAAGGATTGTTTGTTTATTTGTTTGTTTGTTTGTTTGGGTTGCTTTTGACTGTTTGTTGTTCGTTTGTTTTGTTTTATTTTTGTTTGTTTGTTTGTTTGTTTGTTTGTTTGTTTGTCTGGGGGGGTGTTGGGGATGGGGACGGTGGACGTTTTTGGCTAAATATTTGAGATTTGTTTCCTTATCGTGGTCTGCGGCTGTGTGGTCTCAGGTGAAGACTTCCTGGTGAGCGTGCAAGTGTCAAGGTCACAAGGTCACGCCTACGGACGTCTGTACATGACATTACACGACGGCACACAGAACACCGGGGTTGTCGACTTTTCCAGGTAAGACACCCGCTGACACATGTGTCTCTGTATCTGACACTGCACAGGCACCCGACATATGTGTCTCTGTATCTGATACAGCACAACATAGCACACGGGGGTTGTCGACTTGTCTCGGTAAGACACCTGACACATGTGTCTCTGTATCTGACAAAACACAACACGATACAAGACAACACAGCTCGTGGCCTAGAGGTTAAGGTGTTCGCCTCTCATTCAATGGCCCCTTCCCCCTCACCTCCTTTGCCCCCTCCTCGGGGCTCCGCACTCTTTCTGCAGCCTTTCTACTGCTACTCCTTGGCTCCTTCTTACTGCTGTCTTTCAGCCACACCCATGATCTTATAGTAGGAAAGATCTACACCTAGCCTTCTCGGACAAGGTCGAAAAACCTCGTAGGCTCTGGGTGCAAGTTGCGCACCTCAAAGATCCCTTGGTGATCCAGAATTGAGAAGAGTATTCTTCAGCCGCCACCCGGACAAAATTTCCAAATCTCACCAACTGAAATTGTTGAATGTGTCCCACGCGCTCATATGACCTTACGCAGTTGAGAGAAACGATGGACAATATGTCAAATAGTAGAGACAATTCATGGGGCAGGAATTGGGTTCTGGCACTCGTTTTCAATCAAACGCTGTGAATGTAAGTTTATAACAACGGTTCATGTGATTGTGTATACTGCGGTGTCTCTGTATAATAATATGAGATTTAAGGTGTTGCTTGGTGATAAGACCGGATCAAGGGGATAGTCTTGGATACTTCACATTGTCATGTAGTTGGCTTTTGTGGGAGGTGTAGAGTGTGAGTGTGCAGGCGACCTATTTTCACAGAGTAAGTGGGGGGGGGGTGTTCTTGTTTAGTTTTTGTTCTTTTTTTTGTTTGTTTGGGTTTTTTGGGGAGGAGGGATGAGGGTTGGGAGGAAGGTGGAGGAGTTAGCTTATGGAGTTGAAACCAACAACCCAACGGTTCTTTTCTTGGTTTTAAAAAAATAGACTTTCTACCAAAAGTTCACCAATTTCTTTAATGTTCAAAGAATATATTATATAATATTTTAGTCTAGCAGCAGGGTAGTTCAGCCAGTATTCATAAAAGAACAGAATACAGATCTAGATTTCACAGAATATTAAAGAACAAAGAAGGCGAATTAAAAAGTCCAGAAGGGGAACTAGATCTAACACACCCAACACCCGACCTGATCCACAGAACTGACCGCCACTACCACGCCTCCGAGAGAGAGGATCACGTGATCACCGTGGGCAGCACACTGACCCATGTCCACTCGGCCAGGCTCTTGTTTGACCGGGGCACAGGACTCTCTGCTCTGGGCACGTCACACCAGCTGGCTGTGGACTCGGTACACCTCACTCACCTCACTACCAACGCCAGGTAGGACATTTTGAGTCTGTCACCTCACTACCAACGCCAGGTAGGACATTTTGAGTCTGTCACCTCACTACCAACGCCAGGTAGGACATTTTAAGTCTGTCACCTCACTACCAACGCCAGGTAGGACATTTTGAGTCTGTCACCTC